TTTTTTTTGAATGATTTATTTGCTTATTTTTACTTCTCTGATACAGGCTTGTTTCTGTGATGACCATACAAGAAGCAAGGTATTTAAACAAGAGAAAGGAAAACAGCCTCCCTGTCCTAAATGTGGACATGAAACTCAGGAAACCAAGGATCTTAGCATGTCAAGTAAGGCTCTTATTAAAATACCAATGGGGTGATTTTGCTCTTGTGCTTAGATGAGATTTATCTCTTTTTTCTCTATTTTTATTTTTGTCTCTTCCTATTTGAAAAGATGAATGTGTTCTCTTAAGGAAGTGGAATTTTACAACCTTGGGAAATATATGGGTAAAATTTCTCAATTTAACTTGAGAAATAAACCATCATTCACTCTGGTATTTGGCATTTGCCTCAGTTAATGACATAGTGACTACTGAAATTTAAGACCAAAAAAAGTGATTTTTCTGTTTCTGCTGAGGCTTCCTTGTTAAATAATTGAGTAGCTATAAATCCTTAATATTCAAGTGCCGATAATCTTCAGTACTTGGAAGTTGGAACTCATTCCGAAGCTGTTCTTAGGTGCATAGAATTTGAGCAGCTGTGCTTACATCACTACTGTAGGAAATTGTTTCATGGTTTTTATGTAACTTTTCTGAAGGAATAAGACTACTATAAATATGTGTATAGTAATGCAGCTCGCAATTTTGTTAAAAAGAATTTGACTTTTTAGCAAACATCAGAATGGAACCATAATTCCGAATGACTTACAGTACTTTGTTTAATCAGAGGTATAGTTCTACAATGAGGTTAGACTGATGATGTTGCTGATTTTTTGCACTAAACTTTGTGTCGCTGCTCAGACAGAGGAAATGAAAGGTTTTGTCTTCTAGGACATCTGAATTATGAAATTGCTTTTATGAAAAATGTAATGGCTTATGAAGTCAACTCTGTGATTTGAAAATAAATGTTTAATTGATTAGACGAAGGGCATTTTAATTTTTAACATTCCTTATTTAACTTATGTTTAGAGAGCGCTATTGTTCTTATTTTGTTTTCCAACTTTTTCCAGATTTAGTGAAGTGACATTGTCATCTTTATTATTTGTTACACATGGTGTGTTTGTAGATTCTAAGCAGGATAGAACTGATTGTTGTTTTTTAAGGTTTCCTTTCTTTCCAATTAAATATTAAGTGAAGGAATTAGGAAAATGTGGCTTACTTTTTCATTTGGGAGTAAGCAGCAGCCGCTCAAGTTCATGTCATTTTACATATTGTAGAAGAAAATTCGGGTGTAGAGAGTGGAACGAATCAAGCGCATGTACCTGTCTGTCTCTTGTAGCGCGCTCCCTGAAATTTGGCAGGCAGACTGGAGGCGAAGAGGGAGACGGAGCTTCTGGGTACGATGCCTACTGGAAGAGCCTTTCAGCTGATAAGTACGGTGATACCAGCTACCATGATGAGGAGGATGAGTATGAAGNCTTCCCGTTTCCTGTTGTCTGGCTTTGTTCCTCAAATCAAGATCATAGAAAACTGAGTATCTTCTGTCTCTTTCATCTTCCTCTTTGTGGAGACTGAGATGGTTGACTAGTATGTCACTATTAACCTTCACATAGTATATGATAAGTAAATTCCCTGACAGTGTTTCGGGTTGGTAATTTGCTACTAGATCAGAGTTTTTGTAGCTGTATTGCGATTTTTAGCTCTATCATTATATTGTTGTTTTTGTGGTCACATGGGGACTATTTGAAAATTCTGTAGGAGATGTTTACTTGGTGGCTATGTTTGTAAATTTTTACATGTGGATAAATTTTAAAAAGTGAACCAGATAAGATACATAATCATTGGCTTGAAATGGTCTGTGGAAAGAAATAAGCAATAACTTTATACCAGTCTGTTTTTATTGTGAATTATAAAATGTTAAATTCATTTTAAAGCGTAGCTTTTTAAAATCTGTTTTAATTCATCTGAAAATTCACAAGATTTTAAGCTGCTATAATGATTGTTAAGTTACAAAGTATAATTTGCAATTTCTGATTTTAGTACAGATATGAATTAACATGTAACTTCATTATGCAATACATTTTTACAGATTTATTAATTTCTAATCTCAAAAGATCTGACTCAGATAATGAGATCTCAGTGATATCCGTTTTCCCTTTTTTTTTTTTTAATTTTTTGGTTATGTAAGCAGTAAACAGTACTGATTTCTATCCTTTTAAATTATTTCCATAAGAACTTAGGCTACATAAAAATAAAAAGAGGAATTAATGAATACNAAAAAATTTCAACTGGCGAGCTTTCACACTATAAGTCATACTTTTCACCCATGCACTCCTGCAAAGGTACCTCCCTCTCCAATTCATCCTTCTCTTGCAAAAGATCACACACCTGCTGCAAAAGCTGAATCTCCAGGCCCCGGATGACATCAGCTCTTAAGACTTCAGCTATTCTGATCTTCTCAGAACCTGGCATGATAACTAAAGGTAGCTCTTTAAAACGGAGTTCTGACTCTTCTGCAAGTATCCCATGAAGTATCAGTGTGTCAGGATACTTCTGATGAAGTTAAAATTCTGACACTGGATCTGGCCCTGGGAGGTCTTCACAGCTCTCTTCAGAGGCTGAGTCATCAATTGTACCAAGTCACTCATTTGGTTTGTATGACCTTACCTTCCCTGGAATCCCCATCTGATTTATCAGCTAAACTTGTAGAAGAACTTAACTCCTCCTCAGAGAAACAATGGGTGAGTTTCCCTTCCCTGAGCAAAGCTTGGTGAGAAGACAGCCATGGGCAGCGGTGGGCTGGCCTTCCTCTGTGGCTTCCCTGGCCGGGCTGCACTCGGACTGCTCTCACTGAAGGGCCCGAGGCGAGTATCTCCTATGCCTGTTCTAGTCCCTCTCGCTGATAATGGTCCATTTGGTGATGACCTCTCACTGCTCCTTGAACTGCTCACAGACCCAGTGACCACTCATTCTACTTTGGTCTCCAGTGTCCTTTGGGTTGATGTGACATCCACTTTTCCAACAGTGGGAAGAGGAGGCAAAAGGTGAGGAGGAGCCTCTTGGAACTTGTCTCTTTCCCCCTGTGTTCAGTCTGTTCTCTGTTCTGCCATCACTGTCAAGAAGGAAGGTTCAGACCCAGAGCTGTGTGGCTGCAAACCTGGGTGGATTCTGTCCTCTTTTTCTATAATACATTCACCAGCAACTTGATCCTGGTCCTTTGGCTGTTGGTCTTTGTTTGGGGGCTGCGGAGGCCTCACTGGATCATGCCTTTCCCCAGTAACATCGTCAGAGGAACACGTACGAATTAGGTTTCTAGGTCGTGTGCTGGACCTCGTGTTATCCTGCAGCGTGTCCTTCACTTGAGAATACTGCATTTACCTTCTAGCTCATTAGAGGCATCTAAGTGTCTTGGCTCATTTCCTTGAACTAAGCCATCACTCAAGTCCCTGTCTGCAGGTCAGATGTCAATATTCACGGTACTGATTGTGGCTGGTGATTCTGTGGTGCTGCTCATGTCGTCTGCTTTGCAGGGATAGTCTTTTAGACAGTTGAGGGGCCAATGACTGTTTCTCCTGGGATAAACCTTTGTCTTCAGAGCCCTCAGAAGAGGGTGGTTGGGGGAGTAGTGACTTCATGATTTGATTCAGCCTTTCCAGAAACCACGGAAGCAACAGTCACCATTTTTAATATTATTTTTGGAGGTTTTTGCCTTTGTGGCCTCCAACTTAAAAGTGATCCATGGATTCAAAAAAAGTTTATGCTCTTATTGCGACAAGAAAACAACTTGTTGCCCATTGATGTTACCTGGCCAAATGAGCAATGAATACCAGATGCCAGCCCTAGCAACCAAGCTAGTTATCGTTATCGAGCCATTCTTTTCAACACTGAATAACATTATGGCAGTGAGAGTAATGATAACCATCCAATTAAAGATATGCCCTGGTGTCAGATGCTAAATTTTCCATGTCAATAAACATTCTGAAGTGTTAGTTGTGCTGTGTCTCTCTTAACCAGAGCTGTGAGCCCTAGGTAAATGACGGCTGTGTATGCAGCCTCCCAGATCACGGGAATGATTGCAAAGCTGGAGCAACATAGTGAGCCTCTAATGACTGTTATCATCCTGGCTAAATCAGGAAGCAAGTGGAGGAAACTGTGCATCCAAATGTTGTTCGTTGAAAAGAAAGTGGGCTGAGTTGTGGCAAAATGCATATGACAAGCTGGAGAGTAGGAGGGAGTGAGGTTTGATTTGACTCTCCCTTTGGGATATTTGTTTTAAAATATTTGCATGTTTATGTAGATAAAATTGAAAGAGGTTTCTCAGAATTTAACTAGTCCATTTCCCTGCTATTCCTTTAAAACTGCTAAAAGTGAGAGCTTTAAATTTTTTGTATGATCTCTCCCATGAAGCAAAGCCTTTAAAATTATATAATTGTTTGCCTTTTAACAATGAAGTGCAAATAATAGATTAATCAGAGCTCTCATGGTTTATGCAGCTTTTTAAAAAATGTGGATAATTTTCTGATATTTAGAAAATATCATTTTCTACATTTCAGCTCATGCATATTTATTTGAGCTTTAAAAATATATAGGAGACAAAGCTGCCTTCTACCATGTTCTTTAGTGTCTTACCTTGTACAAAGTCCCAGAGCAAAGTCTGGAATCCTGACACTGTGAGAGGTGTGTGGCAAAGGGGATGGGACCTGGGTTTTGTAGTCAGAGAGACCTTAGTTCAGGTTTAAATCTTTGATTCAGGCTTACCCTGGCTGTGTGAACTGGGAAAGTTATGACTCCTCTTTGAAAATGCAGTTTCTCATCTACAAAGCAAGTGCAACCCTTTATGCTTGTGTGGGATTGAATGTCATACATGAGCAACCCAGTTTGCCTCTTCTCATTATGTACTGGATAAGGTAGTAACAATATGTAGAGATAGAAGTATGAAAATGGCAAAACCTAAATGCTTGAAACTTCCACCATGTTTTACATGTTATGCTATATATGAAAGTGTGTCCTTGCTTTTTCTTTAATGTAGGTTCTTGAAAATCAATATATCTGGGAAGGGTCTCGTTTCATTTAGCTACACACATAAACACACACACACACACAAATTTTTGTTTCGGTATAAACCAGCTTAATCGTCCACTTAAATCATCAGATTTGGATCTATGATTCCCCTCCCCCCGCCCCCAAATGAAATTTGTATCTAAGAAATGTGCCAAAAGCCCTAAATGTATAGATTGTAATAATCAGAGCACTGGGAAGAATGCTGGGGTTTGTTTCATCTGGCCTCCCATTCCATATAAATAAATGTTCTCTTGACTCCCCTCCCAGCCAAAGCATTCAATTTTTAAAATGTTCTCTATAAAGGAAGTTTACTATCAAATCTATTTGGTTAGTTATAACTGTTATGAATAATTCTTGTATTTATCCATATTCCTATCATAATCAGTCCTTTCCAACTACAAAGAATAAATCAAATCCTCTTTATGCACTATAGCTCTTCACACATTGTAAGAGAGCCATCATGTTATTTCTGTGGCTTTTCTTTTCTAGGTGAAATATCCCAGGTTCCTGGGATATTATCCATTTTTCGTAAGAAGAGTGTATCTCTAAATCCTTTGTTGTCCTCCTTTCCTTGAGCTCTAGCTTATCAACACTTCTTACTATTATATGATGAAATCAAGACTGAGGAAAAAGCAACATTTCCAGGTCCAGTAATACCCTTGCCCCCAGTGCACTTGACATTTTCAACAGAGGAAATCCAAAATGGGGCCGAGAAATTGTGACCTCTGGAATGAGTACGCTGTCTTGTCACAAAGGGATAAGCCCCGTTGTGATGGATAGGATCACTATATCTATTACAATGAGAATCAATTAATAGGCATAGCTCATATTTCTTTTAAAATAAGTTTTTCATCTCTATTTTCTACTTCTCTAATTTTCATCAATGATAGATTCAAACACATCATTTCTTTTTGTTCTCATTCAACCTTTCTATTTTTAGGTTCAGCTCTGCCCACTTTCATGGAAGTTATAGATTTAACCATGTTGTTTCCATACGCTATATTTAAAACTTTTTCAAATTCTTAAAAGTATTTTTGTCATTGTACATAGGGAAAAATTTGGTTCTGGATTTGTTACCATTTTTTTTTTATATCACATTGCTGTTTCACACACATACTGCCAATGTTTTCATCTCTAAACCCTGCTGATGATATCATGCAATTTTTAAATCTCCTGAGACTACTCACTGAATAATAAAAGCAATCAATTGCAGGGTACTGGATGATATGTAGCAATATGTGAAGATTTTGGTTTTTGTTGTTAATTGTGCTCTAAAAAGTCTGCGTGCATCCAGCTAGTCCTAAAATTATATATTTTAGATTTTTCTTACAAGTGATCTTGTTGTTGAATAAAGCAACTGTCGTAACAAATGTCTAAACTTGAGATATATTTGATCAAAATCATAACAATTTTGAATTTAGGAATAGAAGCACAACATTGTTTTACATTTTTATTTTCATACACTTTTCAACTCTATCATTCCTTAGTTCACTTTAATAAATGAGGATAATTTT